AGGAGACATTAGAGGGTCGTTACTCTGCCGATAGAATGACTCTCCTGTTTAGAGCAAAATCGGATTCAGAGGGCTTCGACGCCAGAAATGGAGGTCAGCTGCCGATTCATTGTTATAACCTCCAATTCAGAAGGTGATATGGGGATCTCATTTTGACTTATTTTCCCCAGAATCTCGTCTCCATGAGCAGCTAGTTCATTAGTTGTGTACGTTAGTGAACCCTAGACTTTGACTATGTAACTCTTGATTTTGGTATATATATGATTTGATTTCATATATCTTTCATGTTTGATTTCTATGCTTGGTTTATTTTTTATTTGATTGCATGTGTAAGTGTTATGAGATCAGGCGATGATAGCATTTCATAGGAGACTGGGCTTGCATATCTTTAGTATTTTTTTATTATTACATTGTTGGGCTTTTATTATTATATTGTATTTATTATTGTTTTCCTTGTTCGTATGGGATTGGGTTATTTGTTGGTAATATCCTTAGAGGGTTAGGAGTCATAATCTAGATAGGTAAAGGTAGAGGCTTTGTGCCTATAAATATGTACTTGTTTCGTTCGTTTAATGAAGAAGATTGGAACCCAATAGTTAGCTTTTGTTCTTAGTTTGCTATTTCCTTGTTATTTCATTTGAGAGTTCTTGCGTTTTATTCCTTTTCACGAGAAAACCCTAAAACGTCATCCCCTACGTCACATTACCGTAACAGTAGGAAGAGGACTATACATCCTCAAAGCCGTCTTCATTGTTGGCATAGACTGGACATGACAGTCCCTCACTATTGATCTTCAATCGATCAAACTGCATTAACTTCCTCAAATGAGGCATTTGTAGGGTCCTCATTGTTTCTTATTAATGCAATTGAAGCCACCATGCATAGTGCAAAAGTAGGACACTAATATATATGCAACTTTTGATAAGCTTAACTTTAGAGATTCTTACTTACTCAAAACACTGAGAGATCACATTATGAACTTTTGAATATATGTGTATCCATTTCGTCGTGTGTCACCTTCGGTTCTGTCCAACATTTTTGTTAATTATCATTAGTGGATGACCCAAGATTGTTGAAGAGGGGTGTCGCCTAATGAAGGAGTATTGACTATAATTATTAAAGTGGTGTCGGAAATCTCGTATTAAATTTTTTTGTACAAAAAATATAGATTTTTCACAAAAAATTTGGGTGAAGGGGTGTCAGAAGACACCGCTTACCAACAAGTAACAAGAAGAAGGTGCAAGCAAGGAGAAGAAGCTTGATTCCATCATTCCCCTCTTTTAGTTCGTATTTTATTCTTCTCTCTAATGACTTGAATCTCTAGTGATTGTTTAGGTAGATGAATCCTAGTTATAGGTTGTGAATGTTTGGGTTTTGAATGAATAAATGTGTTTGTCTAGTTGATTTTAATGCCAATCTTTCCTAAATGATGACGCTTGGGTAATTTTCCATAATCTTCCCTCTTAGCCTCTTTATATGGAGTTCTAGGGTTACATGTGTATGCGCCATCTGGCGAGTTTAGGGTAGATGTGTGAATGGGGGCCTATAGTGGTCGAGGAGACCGAACCCCTGCTATAGGTAGCCTTCCTAGATGAAATCTAAGATGAAACCATGATGTGGACGGTGGATAGTCTCCATTGAAATGAGCCATAAGCTTAATGCCCCAGATACGATAGCCTAGATCGAGGTGACTGGAACATGGGTTTAGGGGAGGCATACTCAGAGGCGTGTGGATAACCACGAAAGCCCATGAAAAAGAGCTCATTCACCACATTCGATTAACCCTACTTTACGACCTTAGCTAAGAGGATTCGACCCTAGGCAACCATCTCATCTCTAGTGTTCTCCCAACCACTTGGTTGGGTGTTTATTTTTCCTTATGAGTAGGTTAATTTAGCCAAAACCCTCAGCAAATTTCCATCCCGATTATATATTAGTTCGGAGCGAAGTAATAATATAATTACGGATCCCTTGGAATACGACCGAGCCATTTTACTACAACCCTAGCTAGGTTATACTTGGCTTAGTTAGGATTTATTAGAGAGTGTGCTTCGACTTTATAAATTTAAAGCTCGATCGCGCACCGGAGCATGATCAAGTTTTTGGCGCCGTTGCGGGGGAGTCTAGGTTATTAGGAAAAGCAGAGAACTACTAGATAATTATTTGTTGTAGGCCAAATTTGGCGTTGGTTTTTTTTGTGTATTGTGTTTATTTAGCACCGAATTTTTGGTGTCCTTTTTCTTGTATTTGGTGCTTTTGATGTCGTATTTTCTTTCTCGTATCTTTCTTTCTTTTGTTATGTTTCCTTTAGTTATCTTGTGTTAAGTGTTTGATCGCTTTTTCTTTTTATTTTCATTTCACACTTGTGCTTTCATAGGTTGTTTTTGTTTTGTGAATATAGATAGTGTTTAGGTTTAACGATGGATCCATATGGTTGGAACGAGGAGTGGGGAGATCACCAACCGCCGAATTGGTGTCATCTTGATACTTCTAGTAGTGGTTTTAGCCAAGGATCCGAGTGTGAAGAACCAACCCCTTTCTATGATTATCAAGAAGGCTTTCCCGATTATCAAGCTTTGTCTTCATGTCATGAAAACTTCCTTGCACAATCGGAGCCCAAAAGCCAATTGGAGCTTTTGGTGGAACAATTCATCCAAAATACCGAAGTGAACTCCAATGTGGAATCTTCAACAACCACCCCTATTGACTTAACTCTTCTAAGGGCATCGGAGGAGACCCTCCGAAAAATGAAGAGACTAAGAGAGGTTGTTGGGCAAGTATGCGCACAACTTGCTCACAATCGACCCTTACCCGTCAAAAAAGAGAAGAAGGTCAAGAGGAAAAGGTGGAGACTATAGGGACATCCAACCCTTTCTTTCAAAATTTCCTCAATGAACAATGAGAATTGGACAAGAGGTGGAAAGCCATGCAAAAAGAGCTCGAACAAGTACGCCTCTTGGACATTGAAGAAGATGAGGAATGCAAGGAAGAGGAAGAAGTCTCTATGGTGGGCGAGAAAGAGAACGTCGACGATCAATCTAGTGAAGAACTTGCTTAGAGACACATCATAGCTCCCGATCAACAAAGAGTGGATTTACAAGAGAGCCTTGATGTGGTGAAGACGAACTTAAGGAAGAGAACGAGCATGATATTCAATATGGGGAAGAAATGAATGAACAAGAATGAGAGGAGGTTGAAGACGCATTTGGAGTCCAACCAATGGACAAGGTCGAATTGGATGAAGCTTCCAAGAGTTACGCGCACTCCTCAATCTTTTCACCCGACCTTGATACACTTTTAGAGAAGGATCCTTTCTTGGATTCTCTTTGCCAAGACGAGGCCATGGTATCACTAATCCCTCTTGGTGTATCCGGTGATGACCCTTCAAAAAATGCTTGATTTGGCTCGGGGCAAAGAGAAACAAAGAAGATTTGAAGAGAGGTTTCATTGGAGGTGTCTCAAGAATTCTTATATGCATGAACCTTTACCGAATGATTGGGAGACCGATCAAGACTTGAGACTCCATTTAGCTGATGAAAACCTCAACTTCAAGGAAGTCTTGATCTGGACTAAAGACTTGAAGATAACGGTCCGGTGAAAAATGATCTAAAAGACACCCTAGTTGGGAGGCACCCCAACATCGGTTTGCACCTCTTTTCCATTTTGCTACTTTTTAGTTTAGAATAAACTTTTAATGTGAATATTTAGTGTTTATTTAGCCGCTTTATTACTTTTCATCGCAATATCCCAATGCTAGGATTGTCTACTTTTGCCCTGCCTTTTAGCATTAATACTCTTTAATTACGCCCAAACCGGTAAGTTAGACAGGTTGTGTTTTAGATTTTCCCTAGGCAGAGCAAAGATCGTGGCCCCTGAGCAGTTCTTCACGACTGTGATCTTGTCCTTCCTTTCTTGTGAACTTCTGAGTTTCACTAAAGATTGCCGCCTGTGGCAAAAAGATCACGGACGAGATCTTTTGCCCTAGCCCGCATTCTTGTCCGCGTCCGTAAAAGGAAGATCGTGGGAGCTGCATAAGCCATAACCCATTTCTCCCATTTTTTCAATTCCTAACCTAGAACTCAAACTTGGAGGCGGGGAACTCGAAATTTCATCTTCCAAGTCTGATTTCTTCGATTCTTCTTCATCTAATTCTATTTTTTAGCTTCTAATCATGTCTGCAAGTAGATCAAGGTAAGTTTTAGCCCTATCCTTCTATTTTCGCATCATGGGGGCGCCGAATTAGGGAAGAGAAGAGGAAATCGAGCTCTTGCTCAAATTTTTGGGAAATGGGGTTGTTGTTTGATTGTTTGATGAATGAGAATCAGTGTGTGCTTGCTTTAGTTACGGTGTGTGGATTCGGAGCCTTGGTGTGCATTTGTTTGGGATTGATTGTTTGGATTTTGAAAATTTTACCCACCAAGCGCTCGATAATCTGCCCGAACCACACTCCCTTTCGAATTTGTTGGTTGCATGCTTGATTCTTAGCATAAATGATGTTGATTAAACCCCTGGTTTGGCTCAAGCATCATCAATTACATTTTTAGGTATCTAGTTCTTAACCATAGTTTTCCTGAATCTTCATATTAAGAACATGATACCATGCCTTATTGGTGCGCAGTTTCAGTTCACTTAGAGCTCAAGTTCTGGTCACTTTTAATTGTAGATGCATTCATTTTAACTCATATTAAGACACAATAGTTTCACATTTCCCTATTTTAGCCCAGAATTTGATCGTACGACCCCCATTTTTTTTTGCCTTCGGACACACTTTTTCTGCCAAGTGTGAGGGAAGAACTCCTTGTATATTGAATCTGCTTTGCCACTTTGCATTGACTGTACTCTAGATTTTCAGGGGAAATGACAGAGGAGAGGGTTCTGATCCCCCAGAGAGAGGTTCCCCCTTCTCGAGCTTCATTTAGTACTTCAGGAGAAACCGACGAAGGGACCAGCGAGCTACCCTAGTTGAGCCTACTCCGAGACAGGAGGAGCCTCAACATCATTCAGACCCCGAGCTTCAGGTAGAGGAAGAGGTTGAGAAGCAACCCTAGTAGGCCCGAAAGAGAACACTGAAGGCAGTGATATCTCATGTGGACCATCACTTCCTCCGAGCCATCCCATTCCTCTCTAGAGACCATCTCCAGCGCTTCATTTAGTACTTCAGGAGAAACCAACGAAGAGACCAGCGAGCTACCCCAGTTGAGCCTACTCCGAGACAGGAGGAGCCTCAACATCATTCAGACCCCGAGCTTCAGGTAGAGGAAGAGGTTAAGCAGCAACCCTAGTAGGTCCGGAAGAGAACATTGAGGGCAGTGATATCTCATGTGCACCATCACTTCCTCCGAGCCATCCCATTCCTCTCTAGAGATCATCTCCAGTGCTTCCAGGGGATACCTACAGGGGAGATTGAGTGCCTCAACTGGGTACTCTTTGCTCAGTTAGGTGTGGCAGACCAGATCATGGACAGGATTAGAGACCCGATGTGGTGTAGGGTTCTGGAGATCAATGAGAGGGTTTATGGAGTCCTCACACTAGAGTTCCTATGCACCATGCAGACCAAATTCATCAAGGGAGCTGCTTTAGAGGACAACCCCTTGATCAGCTTCAGTTTGGGAGGGGTCGAGAAGCAGATGACGATGAGAGAGTTCCTTTCGCTATCGACATCTACCCTCCAGAGTTCATCGCCAACTGCGAGTCCTACATCTCTTTGAAGGCGGAAGCTGAGCTTCACTTTCCTCATGACTTCTATGAGAACGTCATGAAGATGCCTGGCTGACAACCCTGGGATGTGAAGCTGACGAAGGGGAGTGAGGTTTTACCTGAGTTCCGACACATTCATCATGTCATTTCTCACTCAGTTGGCGGAAAGCACGGGAGCAGGGGAAACCTCACAGCTAGAGATGTGACCTTCATCTGGAGCATGCAGAGAGACGACCGTCTTCACCTTGGCTGAGCCATTTTGCAGACTCTTTCTCTCTATGGGTCAGATAAGAGACTTCAAGCTTTGCATGGAGGATCCTACATCACCAGGATTGCCAGACACCTTCAGGTTGATTTGACTGCAGTCGAGAGTCAATTGGATACCTACATAGTTCCAGTTCCATTTTCACATCTAAAGACCTATTTGAAGACTCTCAAGCAGAATGAGGAAGGTATCTGGGGTGTTCGGGGTCTAGAATTCTCGGAGACCAACACGATGATTGTAGGGGGAGTTAGTCACACTCTCCCTGGTCGTCCCAGTGGGAGGAGGAAGAACTCATCTTCATCAGGTCGGCTCGCTACAGCTTCCACGCCAGGAAGTCCAGCCGTCCTCAAACATCTTATGTCCGAGACGCCTAGATATCCTTTGCTTATCAGGAGACCATCCTGAAGTACCAGTAGAGGGACGCAGAGTGGAGGAACCATATGCTCGACTGCACACATTCCTTGATGAGGAAGAATGGCTTGGACCCAGCTATGGTTCCTCATCCTTTCGACGTACTCCTTCGCTGCGACCCTACACCGTTGTGGAAGAGGATGGTGATGATGAGAGTTCATAGGAGCAGTAGCCTCGTGTTCTAGATGCACTACAGGGCACTACAGTAACCTCGTGTTCCTAGCTTGGACTATTGACGATTTCATTTTCAGTACTTTTTATTTTGAATATTAGCTTTTGGTGTGTTTAATTTTCCTTTGCTACCTATCTTAGATGTTCTATTTTAGTTTTTTTTTTTTTTGCACTACTACCTACTTTCTCTCCTAATGACTCTCTTCTTCTTCTTTCCATGTTGGTTTTTTTTTATAAGGTTGACATTGATTAAGATGAAATACAAGGACATTAAAACAGAAAGGGGGAAAACCAGCAGACCAAAACTTCAAAAGTAAAAATAAGACGGACAGCCTGCACCTAAGCAGGACAGCAACACTGCCAAGGAAGGAGGTGAAAGAAAAACGAAAAGAACAAAAGGAAGAAAACAACCCAGCCTGAGTAAGCTAGGAAACAGTAGCCCCTGTCAAACTTGGGTTCAAAACACCATCGACAGTTCTGCTCTTCAAGGCCCGAAGCCATTCCTCGGCAGCCTCTTTATCAACCTTGCCAGCAACCGATAACCACTGCCCAATGAGACTTCCATGTTGGTTTTATGCTCCATTATTTGATAGCAGCGAACCTACACATTTATGCCCCATCTTTCTCCCCTACTGCAACCTTCCCAAATGGTAACTTCTTATAATCCTAACCTAGAATTCCCACATTGAGGACAATGTGTTTCTCAAGTGTAGTGGGAATGCATTGCATAGTTTTAAATGAGTTCACATCGATTGCCATTTCGATTAGTCTATCCCTTCAATTATGAATGTAAAATGCTCATGGTTGCTTGTGGGGCTATTGATTGATTGAATAGGTTGTTGTAGTCAAAAGGCTAACATGAGTGTGTTTTGGAATCTTGAATGCACCACCCAATTTTTTTCAAATTTGAGGGTTTCAAAACACCTTGTTCCTTGCAACCCCCTACTCAATATGCTTTGATTTGTTAGATGATTGATGTATTTTGTTCTCTAAGGGATAGTTGCATGATTGGAGTACTGGTGTGTGGGTAATTTTACTATCTTCCTCCTCTTTTATGAGTCGATAATTTTTGCTACCTTAGGAAGGCATTGTGTGCGTGATTCTCTTCTTTGTTTGAACTACGAACTTTTACAATTTGTGCTTAAGAAAAGGAAAAGAGGTCCACACGTGAGTGGCAACCGGGCAAAGAACTGAGATCAATCGCCAAAGGATTGTTCTTTTGGCTCGGAGTGCCCTTCGAGGATATGTTTGGGGATCGGATAGCTTTATCGCGTCCCGACCACCTTTACTGTTTACCATCTCCCAAACACCTCTCCTCTTCATGGAATTGTATTGCTAAGGACCAAAGATACCTTTTAGTGATCCACGAAACCTCATAGCTCTCGTTTGTACCTGACATGTGTTAGTGCAAGGTCGAGCGCGAGACCGGATCTACTCTTCGTGACTTTGTCACCTGTGAAATCTGCAACCCTAACCCGAAAGATCAAGCAGAATAATCTTGTTGAAAGAGATGAAGAAAATCTAAGAGTTGTCTGATGGAGTTTGGTAATGAGATGAGCAGGTTAAATCGTGTGGGTCAGTTTCACAGTTCACAGTTAAATGGGCCCAAACACTAATTGAATAAATGAAACCCAAACTCATAAAAACAAAAGTCTTCTCTTCAAGCCCTTCAGTTACTCTGTAACAAGCTCTGCTTTCTCTTCTTCTTTATTCTGTTCTGCAATTCAAGAGTACCTGGTAGCAACACAAAACAGAGTACTAAACAGAGATAGAGAAGAATCAGTCCTCAAAGGAATTGGAAGAAGATAAAGTACACAGGACGATTTTTACGTGGTATCCAGCGCAGGGAGAATAAGAATCCCTACACCTACTAATCCACGGTTGAAGTATCTCGGTTTGAGATCTTCAACGTTCCACTAATGATATTTCTCTTTGAAGTTCTGTGTTACAGTTAAGAATGACACACACTCAGCTTTCAGTTGACCAACCCAACCTAATCAAGTTGTTTGCAAAGAACTCCCCATTCCCAAACACCCCTGACTAGCTCACAAGCAATCTCAATGACATGCTCTCTTTTTCACTCAAAATCCTATAGCCAAACCCTTGCTCACTACTTTTGAATGCCCGAAAAAGGTTGTTGTACTCTTCTAATTGATTTCTTCTTATACTTATGCTCATCAACGTCTCTTTTAGATACTTTCCTTCTTTTGCTTGCACGTAGAAAATGTAGGTCGTCATGATTTGAATTCTTTCCACATAGAACTTGTAGAACGTTGTGTTGCTTGGCGTGGACGGTTGGTAGTCATTGACTAAGCTTTCTTCAACATGCGCCCCCTAAGCTTGTCAATGGCTCCTTGACTGCTGCTCGACAACATCCACCTGCACTCACTTAGCAAACAGTTGGTGCAACCTATTCTACAACATTCATTCGAGTTTTTCTTTCAAACGATCATTTTATTCATTAGAAAAATTTAAGAAACATACAATGAGCAGCTATGGCTGCTTTTAGTTCTGGGTAGCTTAGACCTAGACTTTAGACTGCTAAGAGCTAGAAAAGAACCTAAAAGAGACAGAACAATCATCTAGAATGGATATTTTGGAGGAGAATCATAGTCAGATATATCATCATTCTCTTCAGGTTCTTTGACAACTTCATCTTCCTCCGTGATTCTGAAGGAACTTGCTCCCCCTCCATCTCTGATGTGCTTCAGACGAGTGGACATATAGGTTAAGGCAGGTAATGAGATCTTGCACTTCCCTTTAAGATTCTCATTGGAGAGACCAGTTATCTCTCGGTTGATGACCACTTTAGCAGCACATACCAAGGCTTTGACAAGAGCAGCAGCCTCTCCCCCTGAGCCAGCGACAAGCTTGTGGGGACCAACGTTGGCATCGAGACGAGCAAGGACATGTTGAGCTTTGAGATCGTCATGTACGTTGCACAGGGTGACCTTGTCGCAGAGGTTGACCCCCAACTGACAAAGCAGCTTGGTGATGGGGAGTGCCAAGGGCAACCAACCATCGTAGTTGTCATCCCGGTACTTGACTAGATGACAGAACACCAAAGATGCATAGCTGATAGGCTGGCCAGATCGTACATGACTGAGGATCTAAAGATCGGAGGTGTGAAGCAGAGTAGCACTCGAGAGAGATCGGGGAAGAAGAATCTGAGTGATGAAAAAGTGAAGAACATGTAAATCATTGGGGAGACGACCAACAACCAGCATGTTGGAAATGTAATGACCAATGTCGTGAGTGAGAGTGTTCAGATCATGATGAGGATCAAAACCATAATCATGGAACTGACCATCGTGAGGTAATCCCAGCTCGCTAGCAAGCAGATCAGCCGTAACCGTAATCTCAAGGTTCCCGACGGTGGTCTTGAAGGAGTAAAGATCTGGTCCATGCCCTCGTTTGAGATTGACGTAGAACATTCGCACAGCTTCTGGACAATAGGTGTATCGCTAATGCTCGAACAAAGACTCCCATCCAAGATTACGAACGAGACCACAGACATCCATATCATATTTGGTGAAGGCAGAGGTCTGAATAGTAAAGGCTGGATAGATAGCGTGGTCACGAAAGTGACGCACATACCTCGAAAACTCTTTATCCTTGCAAAACATCTTGTTGGAGAAGGTAATAGCAGGATGAAGTTGAGCATTGTTCAACACCATGATGAATGAGTAGGAAGAAGGAGTGGAAGGAAGGTTGATGAGTGAAGAGACGCAGAGGCAAGAAGAGTTCTTTATAGATGATGGGAAGAAGGATTAGAAGGAAGGAAGTCGACAAAATTACCAAAACTCCGGTAATCAATTAGTCGACACATGAAAGGAAATCGGCAGGAAGAATGGCAAGAATTGATTCAGAGAATATCAGCCAAATCGTCACTGGAGAATAACCCTAATTCGCACCTAATATCAAGGAACTTATCAGAGGGAAGCGGCTTAGTGAAAATATCAGCCCATTGAAGATTCGTTCTGATAAATTCTAGGTGAAGTTTCCCATCTTGAACTAGGTCACGAATGAAGTGATATCTCACTTCAATATGTTTAGTGCGAGAGTGCTGAATAGGGTTCTTTGACATGTTTATGGCGCTAGTATTGTCACAGAGAATAGGAAGAGATCCTAGAGAGATCCCATAGTCTAGAAGTTGATATTTTAACTAAAGTGAATGAGTACAGCAGAAGCCAGCAGCAATATATTCTACTTCTGCAGTAGATAGAGCCACAGAGTTCTGCTTCTTGCTAGACCAAGAGACTAAGGAAGATTCTATGAAATGACAAGCACCAGATGTGCTTCTACGATCTACAGAGTAGCCTGCATAGTTAGAGTCGGGGTAGTTGATAATTTCTAAACTAGACCTTTTAGAGTACTAGAGTCTTAAATCTGGTGAACCAGCTAGATAGCAAAAGATCCGCTTAACTGCAGACAAATGACTTTCTTTAGGATTGCTTTAAAATCTAGCGCAAACACAGACGTTGTACATTATATCAGGACGACTAGCTGTTAGGTATAATAGAGATCCTATCATTCCTCCATTAAGTTTACAGTCTATGCTTTTTCCAGATTCATCCTTTGTAAGCATTATTGTGGATCCCAGAGGTGTGGAACTTGTCTTAAGATTGCCAAGTTTAAATCGCTTCAACATGTTTTTCAGATACTTGCTTTGATTTATAAAGGTTCCAGATTTTGTCTATTTTACTTGGAGTCCAAGGAAGAAGTTGAGTTCCCTTATCAGACTCATTTCGAAGGCTCCCTCCATGCTTTTTCCAAATTCTAAACATAATTTTGTACAGGTAGAACCAAAAATAATATCAACTACATAAACCTGGACTAACAGAGTATGACCACCAGAATTTTTGACAAAAAAGGGTTTTGTCAACGTTGCCTACGTGAAAACCATTATCAATTAAGAATTGGCTTAATTTGTCGTACCAAGCTCTAGGAACTTGTTTAAGACCATAGAGAGCTTTGTTGAGTTTATAGACATAATCAGGATGTTCAGGGTCTTCAAAACCAGGAGGTTGAGATACATACACTTCTTCTTTTAAATCACCATTCAGAAAATCGCTTTTAACATCCATTTGAAAAAGTTTAAAACCTTTAGATGCTGCAAACGCACAAAGTAATCGTATTGCTTCTAATCTAGCTATGGGAGAAAATGATTCTTCAAAGTATATTCTTGATTATACCCTTGAGCTACCAATCTTGCCTTGTTTTTAGTTATAACATCAATCTCATCTGTTTTATTTTTGTAAACCCATTTAGTACCGATAATTGTTCTATTTACCGGTATTGGAACCAAATTCCAAATCTTGGTTCGTTCAAATTGATGCATTTCTTCATGCATAGCTGCTGTCTAGAATTCATCTTCTAAGGCTTCATTTATATTCTGAGGGATTATTACAAAAATGAATGTTGTATGTTCAGGATAAACCTTGGATTGAGTAACCATACCTTAGCCTAGGTTTCCGATAATTGGAGAAGGTAGATGCCTCGTCTGGATATGAGGAGGTGCTTCTGGTTCATGTACTTTTTCGCTTCCTTTATCGACTTTAGCTCTTCCCTTGTGTCGTTGTGTCCTTGAGCAGTTTGCTACCAAGTCCAAAGTCGTCATATTCTTCTATTACTTCTGCAATCTTGCTCACGGATTCATCAAATATAACATTGATGGACTCTTCTACCTTGAGAGTCCTTTTGTTATATACCCGATAAGCTCTACTGTTGGTAGAGTAACCTAGGAAAATCAACTGATCCGATTTTGAATCGAGTTTTCCCAGAGAGTCATTTGTGTTTAAAATGAAACACTTGTAGCCAAAAGGTCGGAAATACCCTAAATTTGGTTTTCTCTTTTCCACAGTTCATAAGGGGTTTTGTTTAATTTTAATCTAATCAAGGCTCTGTTTATTACATAGCAAGCTGTGTTAATAGCTTCAGCCCAGAATTTCTTAGAGACTCCATAATCATTTAGCATGGTCCTTCCTATTTCAATTAAGGTTCTGTTCTTTCTTTCAACCACAGCGTTTTGTTGTGGTGTTCTAGGGGCTGAAAATTATGAAGGATTCCATTTTCATTGCAAAACTCCTCAAATTTGTCTAACTCAAATTCACCTCCATGATCACTTCAAATGTTAACTATTTTCAAAAAATTTTCATTTTCTACTTATTTAACAAAGGTCTTAAATTTTAGAAGAGCCTCATCTTTTCTAGAAAGAAATAAAACCCAAGTGAAACGTGAAAAGTCATCTACAATGAAAAAGGCATAGTATTTTCCTCCTAGACTCTAATATTGCTAGGTCCAAAAAGGTCCAAATGTAAAAGCTCAAGAGGTTTGTTTGTAGACAGAACTTGTTTAGTTTTAAAAGAGGCACGAGCATGTTTTTCTTTTGTACAAGCGTCACAGAAAAATTCTTTCTTACTGTGGATTTTGGGAATACCTCTGACCAAGTCTAAGTTTACCAGTTTAGACAAGATCCCTATACTGATGTGACCTACCCTGCGATGCTATTCTAGTTGATCATTTTGATATGAGATGTGTCTCATTGAAGGTCTTTTTATCATTCAAGTTAATAATGAATAGTTTTCCTCTTCGTTTCCCAATGAACAAAATCTTCTTGGTTAAGATATTTTCTAAACAACATCCATTAGGTTCAAAGATAACTCTTTTTCTTTTCCACACATTTGACTAATTGAAAGTAAGTTATGTTTTAGTTCTCTTACCAGCATCACATTGCTTATAGAAGGTGTAGTTCGTATAATTCCTTTACCTAGTATTTCAGTACTGTAGTTATCACCAAAATAAACATTACCTTTCTTTCCTAAGGTAAGTTCAGTTAATAGTTGTTTATCTCCAGTCATATGATGTGAGCACCCACTGTCAAGAATTCAAACGCTGCCTTCCATGCTCGGTTGGAGACAAGTCTGCAAAAGAATATTAATTATTTGCTTTTAGGTATCCAAACTAGTTTGGGTTCCTTCTGAGCATAACAGTTTCTATGTAAGGATTCTTTATGTTTAAGACAGTGATAGAAAGAGTTATTGGTCATGTTTTCTTTAGCTATACGTTTCCTGCAATTGCTTATGTGGTAACCAAGATGATGACAATAATAGTATTCAATTATTTTCCTATAGTTCAACTTGCAGGAAGTAATTGATTTTCTTCCTAGGTCTTTTCTTGTTGTTAATATGTTCTTCTCTAGACATTTTACTTTATCATTAACCAGTATAAGTTTCTCCTTTAGAATTTCATTTTCATTTAGGGCTACTTTTAGAGCAGTTTCCATATTTTGTTTTTCTGACTTGACGTTTCCATAGCTTGACAGAAGAGTTTCATATTCAGCTCGGATGTGTTTTTGTTTGAAAACACTGAATTCATTCTATATGTCTCTTATGGTGTCTAGCATTTGATCATCTTCACAAAAAGAATCAGAATAGTAAGATCTTACCTGAGATGCTTTTTCTTCTTCGGACTCTTCACCAATGGCCATATAAGCTTCCTGTTGACATATATCATCCTCTTCTTCCTCACTGTAGCTCCAGGTTGCAGCGTAAGCCTTCTTGGTGAGAGGACAGTCGGCCTTTACATGTCCCATTTTTCCACACTTGTAGCAACCTGGTTGAGATTGAATTCTATCACCATTGCTCCCTTCTCTTCTATTCTTGTAGCCAAATCGGTTTCTTTCCTTTTGATCCCTACTGTCTTCAATTTTGCTTGGTGGACCTCCCTTTTTCTATCTCTTCTCGTCTTCAACAGCTTGGCTACATCATTGCTTAGCATTTCCAATTCGTCATCTTCCAGGTCTTCCAGATTCTATATGTCCTCTTCGTATGTTGAGGTCTTAAAAGCTATTTTGCGATTCTCCTTTCTAGGCTCATCAGCTTTTTCCCTTTTTAGCTTTTCTTCGTGTGTTATCAAGGATCCAATCATCTCATCCAAACTAAGCCTAGTGAGATCTTTGAATTCCTCAACAGTAGTGACCTTGGGAGTCCACCAGTTGGGAAGTGTCTAGAGAACCTTTCGTACAAGATCAGCGCTAGCATATTCTAGTTCCAGATTCCTTAAACTATTCACGATTGTGGTGAATCGATCATTCATTTCCTTGATCGATTCTTATGGCTTCATAATGAAGGACTTGAATTCTTGCTTAAGGCTATTAATTCTGGAGATCTTAACATGAGAAGTACCTTCGTGAGCAACTTGCAGCATGTCCCAAATTTCTTTGATTGTTTTGCATCTAGTAACTCTATGATACTCTTCAGACCCTAACACACATAGTACATTAGGTTCGTCGCCTTTGAGTTTAACTGAAAGTTCTTCTTGTCTTCTTCGCTCCAATACCCCGGATTTGTTTGACTTCCAGCGGCCCATCCATCACGATATTTGACTCACTTCTACTGTCACTCCAGGAATTGGCCAAGTGAAACCACTTCCTAAAGCGTAGTATAGCGGGTTTGGGTTTAAATGTCAACCCGGGTCCTAGATTTGATGACTACTCAGTGAATTCTTGTTATCTAGCAATGAAACTTTAATGCAAGTCTAAACTAACAAACTAACAAACTAACAAAGCAAGTAAACTGTTGTTTTCAGGTTAAGAGAGGTCACCCGGATATGGTTCCCCCTAGACTGCAGTTAAGCCGGATTGCAATTACCAAGTTCAGTTTCTATGATAGTTATA